ACGCAACTACCAGGCACAGCTCCAACAAAAGCTCTAATTTTAAAGACTTGTCACTAGGATCAATCCCTTCTTTTCCTAGAAATCGGTATACATTTTTGGTATCTATAATTTATAATTTTGTCTAAAATTTTCTTATCAATCATTGTCAGCTCCAAATCCTCCACCAAGTTTGATTCCACCATACTGGATCTTCAGAGAGAAAAATAAATTTCCATTCCTTACAAGCAATATATACCCATATCAATTTGTATAAACATTTTTTAAACCACATAAGGCATTTCCACATAAGCCATTCTCACCGCCAAGATTAGAGTCTACTTGGCTAGACTCCTGCAATAATCCCAGATTCTTTTATTCTCCTCTAAAATGGTATTCTCCAATACCCGGAAGCACTTCAACAGGATGCCTCCTGCTCTGGGAAATTTTGCCCTTAAATAAATGTATTTTTGTCACCTAAAATTCAGTTAGAAAGGAGAGTCTAGGATTCATTTTGATGATCCATTCTATTGTGTGTTAAAGAATTCATATAATCTCTAAATGCCGCCTATTTCACTTAAGCCTATTTCCTCTGGTTCAATTCATACTACAGTCAGAAATGACAGACTAATGAACTAAATGGAGATTCAGAAATCTCCATTCAGAACCAAACTGAGAGTTTTCTGAACTCTAATCAACTCTTCCTCATTGTCTCTCTATTTTTAAAACTGCTTTGTGCACTCAGTGTTTAAAACTATGAAGTATTACATTTTTAAAACATCCCTTATGGTCTAGAATTAGACATAAGGAAAGAAAATTTAACTCAAAATGCTAAGAAGAATTAAGTTTTCTCAAAATGCTTCTGATGAAGTCATAGTTTGGCTAAAAGTTTTGGCAACATGTCACTTCATTGTGTTCTCAGTCATTTTATTGTGACTTAATCTCCCTATTAGAGAATAAAGCTCCTTACAGAGAGGACCTGTACAACTTCCGTTTTGATTTTTCCACTCCCAAGTCTAAGGAAAAAAACAAACAAACAAAAAAAAAAACTACCATATCCTTAGTAGTAAGAGCTAAAACTTTTTCACATAATGGCTGAGCACTCACATAATGAGCAAATGGTTCTATATAGGACAAATAAAGGTCAGGGGCAAGGGTCAGAAAGGCATGTACTCTTTTGTGTAACAGTTAACTTGTTCCTTTCTTTATCTTTTTAAACCTCTTTGGAAATCAAGGACTATCCAAATTTGCCATGTAAAAAATGCAACCACTTTACAAGACAGTTGCCAGCTCAGCAACTTTTAAGTCAGTATGTATGTATACTTAAAAATACAATCCAATAAATAATCTCCATTAAGTTCTGGTAAAAAGCATACTTTTAACAATACAGAAAAATATCATGAGAACTGAGGTTTCCTAATTAGGCCAGAGAAGGAAAAGGCAGTTTGATTTTAGAACTACACATCTTTCTTATAAAACTACTTAATTGCACTCTCACAGTAAAAAGATTAGTTGCCTTCAATGGCTTCTCAGAAGAAAAAAAAAAAAATCCTATTATTTCCTCTCCACTAAGGAGTAACATCTTCCCATAATTACAGGAAAGCTGTGCATTAAGTTGACTGCTCAGGAAGTATGATTTCCTAATAAAATGCAAACCTAATCCACTCGCACCAAGTCAAAAATAAAGACTAAATTCTCAGCTCCTACTGCCCTCTTTCATCTGTAGTTCTTGTGATTATAATTCCCTCAATAAGAGGCACTAAACAACAATCCATTAATTTAGAAATTGTCCTCAAGATTCACTCTCATCTGAAGGTCCCCTCCCAGCTAAGATGGTTAGATTCAGTTCCTTTATCTGGTAAGAGACAAGACAGGAAAAAAATGTAATGGTAATGTGTACAGGTATCTATCATGATAGAAATGCAACTGCGAATATCCTTAGCACAAGTTTTTGACATAAACTGTGGCCATTCAACACTCACGTGTTATCTTTTACCAATGATAACAAAGCAGATGGCACTTGCTTGGGCTGACACACAGCCAGTCATGCCTCTCTCTCCCATTAGGAATGCATCTCACTCCTCTCCTTTAAATGTCTTTATACAACCAATAAGACTCCAAAACTAAATTACCTTCAGACCTAGTATGGTTTTCCTTTTCAGACTTCAACATGAGAGAAAGAGAGAGAGAGAGAGAGAGAGACACCCCCCTTGTCTCCGTGTTAGTCAGAATTTTAAAGAAAAGACACACACACACACACACACACACACACACACACACACACACACCCCCACCCCCCACCCCCGGTCTCCGTGTTAGTCAGAATTTTAAAGAACCATGGAACACAGAGGAAGGAGCCCAAGAAACCTCTCATTTTATAGATGGTCTGCAACAGACTGTGATTTGTTCAGGGTTTCATAGCACCACATGCAATTCTAGGAATATTGAAAATGAAAAGTATTAGAGCTTTATCTCAATTATCAACTCCTGCTTCCCTTCCTATTAGAAAAATAACATGATTTGGACAGTATATTTTGGCATGAACATTGAGGATAAGAAAATACCTCTTGTTTTTAAAGCCCTTACATAGGCCAAAATACAATTCAATATAATTGCTTTTCAAATATGTTACCTCAAACAAGGATGGGTTTGATTTCAAATACCACTATAGTACCAAAAGGTTGATTATTAGGACCAAAAGCCTCTCAAATTTGAGACACACAGTCCTAGCCTTCTTTTATGATCATAAAGTCTTTCACCAGAGGGCAAACTAAAAGGAAGAATTTTGAGGACAGAGAACAGAAAAATCAGGGTCTGCGAATAAGAACGTCAAGGATGAGGAACCACAGCTTAGTGTAGGCTAAAAATTAAATTGATTTCTTGACTGAAAGGGTAAGAAGCTTTGGCTTACCTGTTGGGAGGGAGAGCCTAGGGAAGAGGTGGTAGTTACACTGCAACCTCTCTCAACTGGGAAAATTACTTTTCTCACATATCTCACACAGAGAGGCATGAGGTGGGAGTCACAAATATCACAGGAACATTGCTGTTTTTGGAACTTAGCCCTTCTTCCCCCACCCTACTCTCTGTCCAAAAAAATAATAATAATACTAAAAATATAAATCTGCATCCAAATATGCTTGCTTTAAAACTTTCCAGCTTTTCCTGCTCTCTGAACTTGGTATTTTATCCAGTTTCTTCTTGTGCCTTCAAAGGCCATTTCTACGACCAAAATCACACCTCTGACCAAACTACTCAAGTACTGTAGTTTCTAGAAATACTTACAGATCCCCTACATCCTATGACCTGGAATTCTCCTTCTCTTCCTGCCCAATCTTCTTCTCAATCAAGAAAGGCAGAATATACAGAGATAATGAGTAAGCCAAAGGAATATGAGTCTAAACCTTGGCTCTGTCCCTCACTGCTAGGTGGCCTGAGGAAAGTCACTTTATCTCTTTGAGCTCCAGCTTCCCCATCTGTAAAGTAACCATATTACCTACTAGCTATGATTGTTGTTAGAATTATAGGTTATAATACACAACCTCTCTCACTGAATGACTATAACATGACATGCATTACATAAATGCCAATAACTACTGCTATAACTGCAATTTAGCATTTCATTTCAGGACTCATGTACCTTTAGAAAAACTGCCCGGTGTCTCACATTTGGAGATACTTCCCTGGAATCTCTTTGAGTCAATGCTGAAATCTGTCACTCTAGATGTCTTCTCAGGAGTATTTCCTTTATTACCCATCAGGTTGAACTCTGACCCCAAACTGTCCACTAGATCTTATTGAAGAGTATTTGGTCCCTCCAATCTTTGAACTAAAAATCATCAACAAAAATATTCTCTTGATGTTTTACAAGAATTATTTCCAAACTGGCCTCACCATTACCAAATAGGAACTTTGTAAGACTACGAATACCTGTACCTCACCCCGTAGAAATTCTAATTCATTAGGTCCTGGGCAGGGGGCGGGGGGGGGGGGGGGGGAGGAATTTGTGTTTAAAAAGGCTTATGATAATGATTCCAATTGACCTGTGAGGTTTTGGAACCACTGCTTTATATAATCCCAGTTATTCTCCCTTTGCAGAAAACATGTGCAAACTAGAAATTAGATGTTCAACTTCTAATTAGAGCACTTGCTCTGTGAAATACACTCTTTTTCTTCTTTCTCCTTTAAGTGATAGTCATCCGTACCAAGAGGTCCAATCAAAAACAAACAAAACACACTCAGGACACAGGTAACTCAACAGCCACAAAAGCCTCTGCATTTGTACAGAAAAACTGCTATAAGCAGCTTCATTTCTCATTATTAATCTATCTCATGTGGGGATTTGCACAGGCAGAAAGGCTCTCCAAATGCCAAGAGCTTTATTTTCTTGTGGATCACTGAAACCTAATTATTAAAAGAGCAGTAAGCCCTACTACCAGACCTTCATACAGTCAAAAGATCAGAAAGATAGTCTTGAATTATGGGCTACAGAGAGCAACTAAGGAACCGGAAGGCAAATTCATTTCTTTGCCACAGCTCTTCCACATGCCCCAATATGTAAGCTTCCCACAAAGATCTAAACCTCTACAAAGCACTGCTTGCATGATAACCATTTTTTGCAACTCAGAACCTTTAGATACACTGTGTTAAGTGATCAAATCCGCCTGTTCTCTTTGTCCTAATTATAAGGATCTCTCCCCTATCAGCCAATCTACCTTGACTACCATCAAGACTCCAGTCAGTCTGCCCTAAATCAGCTTTAGCATCAACAGCAGTAGCATCAGCTTTGTTACAGAGAACACATTTGACTAAAAGGGTACCATACTGAAGTTCCAAATCATAACATAAAACACTGAGCTCAGTTTAGTATATTTTAGAAGCAACCACAAAGCTCTGCAGGGAAGCCTTCCAGCATCCCACAAGGATATCTTCTCCGCCTGTTAGGAAGAACCACAGAGGAACAGGTACCAAAGGCTCAGGGGCAGGGGTGGTCAGCCATAGAAAAGAACAAAGCCAAGCTATCTTACCTGTTTGAGTCCCTTTGGCATTTTCTTTCTCTTCCCGAGGTGCTGGCAGAGATTGCGGTCATTTTCTCGATCTGAGCTGTAGTGATGTGGGTGGCTAAGTCGGCTCTTCTTGGAATGAAAGGACAAGCCATTGGTAAGTGCTTCTCGTTTCTTCTTGGTCAGAGGGGTCTGGCGTTTTTCCACACGTTCCTGAGGCTTAAGTGCTACATCTTTCTGTAGAAAAGATGGAAAGGAAAATGGTGTTTAAATAGGTATCTATGGTCACATTCAAAATATAGGCTAAGTGGAGTCACTGAAAGGGAAGGTGGGAAGGACCGGAAAGTGGGATATGAGAAAACCTAAAACTAAGAAATATGCCTCTCAATTGTTCTGAAGCCCTAATGCCACCACAAATATATCATTTCTATTATTGTTGAGCAAAAAATTCAACTAAGCACAAATACCTATCCATAAATGTGATTACAATGCTCCCTGGGACAGTGGCTTTCCAGCTGATTCTGTGCTGGGTCCAGCACACAATATTCCCTGAGGAGGCTGAATGCACTCACTCCCCAAGATGGTACATCAATTATGTTTCAAAAAAGGAGTACTAAGTACATGCACTATTCAAAAACAGCAGCACAAGACTGAACATACCAGGGCCAGGAGGATGTGAGCCAGCAAGAAAGAAACTGTCAATTCATACCACTAAAATGTTTCCTTAAGGCATTATATTTTTACCACAAGTTCCTCTGAGCATCCTTAATTCCTATCCTCTTTGCAAAATGTAACAGTATTATCACCAAGATCAAAAGCAACTTTTCATTTACTCTTGTGTGTGGCTGGGGTGGGGGAAAAGGGTAGCAGAAGGGTAATGGATGTTCTGGAATATAAAGTAGCATCTGTAGAAACTACAGGCAAGAATTTCAGGCCACACAACCTAGTGTAGTTATGTGCCTGCAGGCAGCTCAGGTCATACTGAGATTCAAAAAGACATGGGTTCAAGCCCTGTCACTGACATTATTCATTACAAGACTTGGAATACGTTACTGCAAATCTGAGCCCACATGTGAAATAGGCTCAGGTATAACCAGATTCCATGCATGTGCATGTCCTTTGATCCCTGAGAAATGTTGTCACATTAAGCACTGAGACCAAAAGGATTTGGCACTCTATCATTTGTAGAATAGATATGATCTCCTTACACTGAAAGCGCTCCTTTATAAAGCCTCACTCCTGCATAATTTCTCAGTGTCGATGGTCCTAAATGCACATTTAAAAATAATATAAAACCAGAACAAAAATTCCCCTTTACCCATTTCTCCTCAAAATACCACTCTTTCCTCTCCTTCATAGCCAATATTCTTGAGGCATTGTCTATTCTACTACTTCTACTTTATCCCAACACTCCCCACTTGACATACATGAAGCTCCTAGGTATCTTTTCCACAGAAAAGCCGCTGCCATTCGTTTGGGATCTTGGATCTTTATGACTCTTTTTCCTTAGTCTCAAAAGCCCTCCCTTCTAGAGCTTTCCCTTTTCTAGTTCAAGGACTTTCTGCAGTGCTGACTACTCAGGGAGGCCTTTATATACAGCAAAAACAATGTTCTCAGGCTTGTACTCATTCAACAAATTTTTTTTTGTGCACCTAGTATATACTAATAAGTACAAACTTTTCACTGTCCTATAGTGCTGAGAAAACAATTGTGCAGGGGGAAAAAAACACCCTTGTTTCATGAAGCTTAGGTTTTGGGGGACAAATACTAATCAAATCATATACTTGCAAACTGAACTAACTGCTCTAAAGGAAAGGTAAAGCCTACTAAAACTGGGATAAATGGTCTAGTCCAGAGGAGTGGGTTGTGGTTGAAGAGATGACTGCCATTTGACCTAGATTTGAAGGTCTGAGCAGAGAGAACATCTGGTGCAAAGATCCTGAGGCAGCTGACAGCATGATCCCTTGAGAGAATGAGGGCAGGGACTAAGTTTCATTCATCTCAGTAACCCCAGAGCTTCACATACAGACTCAGGCAAATAATAGGTGGTATGTATACTTATACTTGCTAGGTAAACAAATTAATGAGGCAACTAATTAAAGTACCTAGGCCTACCTACAATCCACAATAATTACTTCATAACATCCCAAGCTGCTTCTAACATGGAGTGAAGCAAGTTAGAAACGCTGATTGAAGCAGGAAAACAAAAAGTCTGGCAAGACGGATGGCATGCAAGAAAGATCAGAGAAGAAAGCAGCTCCTAAAACAGGAGAAAAGCCTTGTCCTTGTACCAAAACGATATAAAAGACAACAACCTTACATGGCAAATGAATTCCTCTGGTCTAACTTTTAGCTGCTATCACTGCAGATGATTTACCCTATGCCACTGAAGAAGCAGCTCTCCTGAGGCAATGAGGATGGGGTAAGACATGGTTAGGAGATAAGTTGAGATTAAAGCAAGTGCCCATGGCCACTGTCTGAGAACCTTGCACATTATGCCTAACACACAGTAAATGTTCAATAAAGCCTGTTAAATTTATTCTTTTGTCCAGTCTCCACTACCAGTCTGCTATGTCAGACGTTTGCTCAGCACAAACTATTCAATGTTTAGTCTCACATGAAATTATGATAATCAGGTATCATGAAAAGACACTCAGGTAGAATGGCAACACTAGCAGAAGCAACTAGTTGAGTTCCATGATGGACTTCTATATAATATGATTAAATTGCACCACTTCTAAGAATAATATGTAAACTCCACACAGGAGAAGAAAAAAAAAAAAAACAAAACACCTCCTTTCTTTGTTATGCAACCCACCTATTATGCGTGTCATATGCATGTAGAGTATCAGATTAATAAAAAAATGATATTTAATGATGTATCAACTGTCATCTCCATCTCTTTGGAGACCAAATCTTTCATACCAAAGTGCTCCTAAATATATTGAAAATTATGTGCAATTCCATAAAATGTGAATTAATATTTATGAGAATATGGTATATTTTTTCCAAATTCATTTTATTTTCATGTAGCATATTAATCAAGGAATCTCACTGCACTGCAGAATAGCTACACAGCAAACAGACCCCATGCTGTGACATTAGCTTGTAAAAGACCTGCTGAAATCTAAGCGGCACCAGTACAATCATCTTAGCTCCAATTAATATTGAGATTTTGAACTCTGGAGGGTCTGAAGAGGGAAGAGTGAAAGAAAGACCCGAACAAAGTGTGTGCAGGGGTGATGGCTTAAGGGGTATCCAACCTTCCGGCATCTCTGGGCCACAATGGAAGAAGAGTTGTTTTGGGCCACACATTAAAAACACTGCAACACATAATTATAAAAAAAAACCCTCATAATATTTTAAGTAAATTTACAATTTTGTGTTGGGCTGCATTCATAGCCATCCTGGGCCACGCACAGACTGGACACCCCTGGAAGAGGTAAAGAAGGTATGAAGTGTTTTAAAAGTTTCTGTTATGTGAAAAGTTTGTATTTTCAAGAAATAGAGATTTTCTTTATTCTTTCAAAGATACAATTTTATTTATAAATTACTATATAGGCCCTTTTGCACAATTCCTGAATAAACCAGACCACTGTTTCTTCATTCCCTATATAAATATTTACTGACTGCTATGTACACATTAAAATAATCATTTCATTTTTCATTGATTGCCTTGGAGCAAAAAAAAAGATAAAAACTGTTCACTATAAACAAGGAGAATTAAAGACAAAGAGGTTAATTATAAACCAATCAGCCTTTAATATTCTAAAGAGCTGTGCACACAATTACATATATATGTATATGTGTACATATAAATCCACAAACCACCAACAAACTATTAGCAACTAATTTAAAAATCTCCTTAAATAAAAATGGGCAGTCTATAAAATAATGCTATGACATGGGGACTAAAACTGTCTAGTTTGTAAAAGAACTTTTTAGGATCAATAAATGATGATTTTCTAAAGCATGATAATTTATTAGTCTACCCTGATCTAGGCTAGTGATTCTCAATGAAAATTAATGTCCCCAGATAATTCTCAGGAAGGGAAGCATTTATCAAACAAGCATTGGGAGGAAGGAGAAGGGCAGAATGATAAGAATGAGATCAGGAAAAATGCTTTAAGGCCTTCATTTGACAATCACAGTAGAAGCAAGAAAACAAGAAAGCCAGGAAGCCAACAACAGAAAGGTGGCTGTGAGGTAAAAAGATTTAGACATATTTGCTGGCAATAGAGGGGGTAAGTGCACAAGCCATGCACAACAGATGGGAATAGGTTTCATGAACAGTAGAAATTATGTGATTTTTAGGTCATAGGTGATGGAGGGCAGGGTCACAGAAGCATACATGCTGAGAGGTCAACTATTCAAACAATTTCCTTCAATACTCAGCCTTCCTCAAAATACATAATCCTGCTCTAGACTTCCCTTTCTCAAAACTACAATCTTCCACCAAAGGTTTCCTCTGCCATTCCTGAATTTCAAAAGCCGACGGTTCAGTGTTGTGGAAACTGAGGGGGAGCAACAAATTGCAGATGAACACTATGTGGGGTTGCAGGGCTCCATTTACTGATTACAGATGAAGCCAGAGACAATAGCAAATGAGGACATGATTTGCCTGCCTTGCATGAAATAGGTTTTAGAAAGAAAATCTCCATCTGATTTTCCAACCAAACTAATCCGAGGGCAGCTCATCACTTACAAAGCATCTGTGGTATGTGTTCCTGCATGTGCCCATGTGTACCTATGCTGTTAATGAGGGGTGCAATTTAAACAGAATCTCCTTCTGTTAGTTACCTGATTGATCTTAGAGACTTACACTAAAAATAAGAAAGAAGCCAGGTTGGGGGGGGGGGGGGTAGAGGGGGGAGAGTGGTCTGTCACCATCAAAAGACATTAATGGCTGTGTGCTGTCATTTTAGTCTGTCAAGTCCTTTGCTGGTTTATTGTATTACAATTGTACTTGTTATTGAATGCTTCTACAAACATTGATTCCATAACTTCTCTCAAATGCAAAAGAAGTGAAAGGATTTACAGCAATCGTAAGTAGTCAAAAGTTAGCAAAGAAACATGCAGCCGTTTTTTTTCCCTTTTCATTGAATTTACTGGGGTGACACTGGTTAACAAAATTATATAGGTTTCAGGAGCACAATACAGCTCTTTTAAAACTTAAAACTTGTATGGGTGTATTCACATTGGTCCTGAACTTTGAAATTTTGAACAAATGGACTTAT